CAGTAAACTAAGGTTAATTTATTCTTCAAGACAGAAAAAAAACTGTTTTATAAATTTAGTGTAGCGTAAATGAACAGTGTTTATAAAGTCTACAGTAGTTCACAGTAATGTTCTAAGCTTTCACATTCACTCACCACTCACTGACTCACCCAGAATAACTTCCAGCCCTGCATGTGCTATTCATGTAAGTGCACTGTACAGGTGTATCTTTTTAAATCTTTTATGTCATGTTTTTTACTGTGTCTTTTCTATGTTTAGATACACAAATACCACCGTGTTATGACTGCTGTTATCGAAAACTCAGCACTTGTCCTCCATGCTGCATCAGAAGAACTAGGACAAGTCGTTTGAAGGGAAGGAAAGAGAAGCTTATCAATTTGCCGGCAAATGAGGAGTATGGAGACTACTGTCTGAAATGCCATCGTCCTCCTTCTGGGCAGAAGTACAGAGCTTTTAAAGGTTCTGATCAATCCCATCTTTGGCTAAGACAATCTCATGACCTCCACTGGGATTCATCCCATCTTCAGTTAAAACAATCTCTGGACCTCCACCCTGATTAATCCCATTTTCAGGTTAATCCCATTTGCAGCTAAGGCAACCTCCACCCTGACAATTCCCTTGAGCCATCTCCTGTGGCACAAAGAACAGAAGACATTCTCCTACCCCTTCTGATTCCTGGCATGAGGCAGGGATGCAAGTCCTAGTTCTCCAAAAGGAGTAGGGGATATTTTAAAGAGACATAAAACATTCCTGCCATTTTTTTTAAGCCATTTCTTCAGTTACGTGTCCCGTCCCTCCCCCCGCCCCGGTCAACATTACCCTTCCAAACATATGGGAAGAGGGGTGACTACTTTGTTACGCTGCCTACAGTATTCAGTACAGTAACATGCTGTACAGGCTTGTAGCCTATGAGCAATAGGCAATACCATACAGCCTAGGTGTGTAGCAGGCTAGACCATCTAGGTTTGCGTAAATACACGCTATGATGTTCCACAAAGACGAAATCTCCAAACCAGGCATTTTGCAGAAACACATCCCCTTCGTTACGGGACCATGACTGTATACGTATCTTTTGGCTTGCATATACTTTCCACTCAGGCACAGTATGTAGGAAAAGAATAACCAAAAGGAATAAATTTAAAGGAGCAACTTCCAAGACCATTAATAAAGAGTAGACTTTTTGAGAGACATTAAAGACGTAAATAAATGGAAAGATACAGGAGAATTAGAAGATTCGCTATCATAAAGATGTCAGTTGTTCCCAAACTGATGCATGCTGTGGAGTGGCCAAGAGATGGAAGGAGCCCCTCGGTCCATAGAAATGAGTTAAGATCAAATAAAACTCACCTCACCATCACTCCCGCGCCAACCTGACAGTGCTGGCAACGGAATACTCCCGGTTAAAATTTAATTACGAAAATCTAATCATTCAGACCTCGAGATCCTCCAGGTAGGTTAAAATCGATAACGGAAAAGAAAAAGAAAAAAGAAAAGAAAAGCTCCTGCTTCACCCCCATAAAGAGAAGAGATCCCATAAGCATCACTGACAAGAAAATAAAACAGCTCCCAGAGAACACAACAGAAACGTGCAGGCGAGGAGTCTCGGTGGGGCGTAGGGGAAGAGAAATCGTTCACGTCTCCTCGCGTCCCAGAGGCTGCTCCCCGGCGCCCGGCCTCAAACCTCAGAGCTCGCGGAGGAGCCTCCCGCCGCCCCGAGCGAACACTTTTTTCTGAAGCCCTGCCTCAGTCCGCTCCCCACGTCCGACTCTGGTCTCTTGGGCCCCTTTCCTCCCTTGCTTTACCTCAGGAAAGAGAAAGGCAAGAGACTAATCGAATGAAATTCCTCACCGAGTTCACCGCGTCTTGCAGCTGCGTGAGCCGATCCGCCATGTTCTTCCCGCACGCAGAGGGGAAGCTAACGCAGCTGGTCGTGCACGATTGGACAGCTCTAGGAGGTGTCTCGGCCAATCGCAGGGCGACGTCCTTAAATGCCAGAAAATTTGGGTGGGGCCAGGGAGGACTCCCCGCCCGGCGCGGAGGGGGTGGGGCTTCCCTGAGGCTGGCTTTATTTAGCTGGCTGGACCCGGGCAAAGGCTGGCTCTTTTGAGTAAATGGAACACGTAGTTCGGTGTCCGCTCGCTTTTGGGGCTTAAATAGTCTCGAGGTTGTTAGGTGTTAAACGCTTTACAGAGATTGTTGGATTCTGCGGAGTTTTTTTTTTTTTTCTCTTCAGTAATTTCTCCTACCTGGTCATGTGTTCCTTTTTTAACAGCACCTTGAACACTTTACATTGCTTTTGCTGTCTAGGTGGACCTCAAAACATGTACCAGCAAACAACTCACAAATACGTGGGAGTCACAATATCGCTTTAAATTCAACAAAATCCAATTGAAATTAACCGGGCAATCGGGAAGGGCTGGGTTAGGGTGCCTCCTCTGTTGCTTTGGGGCGCAGGGTGGGGGTGGGGTCGCTTACCCCAGGGGAGACTGCGCGCTTTCATTCTGAGGGTGGGTGTCCCGGGGAAGCTGACGCAAGAAGTGGAACAATT